TCTGCAGGGCTTTGGACAGCATCTTGGCCCCGATGTCTTCCATGCAGTTGCCACTCAGGTCCACCTTGGTCAAGCAAGTGTTACTGCCCAGAGCGTTGATGAGGATGCTGGTGCGGGTTTTCAGCCGGGAATCGGCAACCGAGAAAGTCTGCAGGGACTTTGGTAGGGGACAGGGCAGAGGCTTGAGTCTGGGTTTGAAATCCTTGACAGAGCCTACAGAGACCCACTGCTATTTTGACCCCGCAGACAAACCACAACCCGGGCTTTGGCACACTTGGACAATTTCCAGGGGCCCCCCCCCTTTCGTTTTTCCAGCATGCTGTGATTGGGTGGATCCAGGCAGAAACGAGGATGTCATTTTCTGACAACTGTCGACTCGTCTTCTTGCCCACCGTTCCAAGGAAGCCGGGGAAAAGAGGATATCTTTTCGTTTCAGCCTGCTTTGGGTTAATCTCGATTCCCAGCCTGCTGTAATTATTTCTCCTCTGCTGGGAATTTGACTTAAGAAAAGCCCTGCTGGGTCAAAATGGTGGTCCACCTAGTCCAGTATCCCATCTCACACAGCGGCCAACCAGTTGCCATGGATGGCCAGCAAACAGAGGCCAAGGCCTTCCCCTGATAATGCCTCCTAGAGCTGCTATTCAAAGGTTTACTGCCTCTGGATGTGGAGGCAACCTTTGGTCATCGTGCCTGGTCGCCACTGAGAGACCTGTTGTGGCTTGTCTTCTTTGTAGATTTTAAAATTTAAATTCTTTTATTTTAATGCTAATCCTTTCAGGGAGGTGTGCTCTTCTGAAGTTCTGCTCAAGAAGAATGGTTTCAGCCCTAATCATTCAAAACAATTCACACAACCCTCCCACTGTTGACCCCCCCAAGCGCCAAAAACAGTGATGTCTAAATGCATGGAATTAAAGACTTCACAGAAGATAAGGTATGTGAACACGCTACACGTACTAGTGTTCTACATACCTAAAAGGTGCTTACCCAGTGCATTGATGGATACTGCAGAGCTGTTGTGCCGCTCCCCAATCATCTGCCACTCCCCATCCAGCCGTCGTGTCCACTCTGTGATGCGACACTCATAATGGCCCTCATCTGCTTTGAGGCTGTTGAAGATTTCAAGCGTGAAGGACCCAGGCCGTATCTGCTCCATCTGGATCCCACCGTAGCTGCTGCGCTCTATGTAAGAAGGGCCTGGATGAAGGGTACCCTCCCGATCCAGCTGCACAATGTCACTGCGACGATTCTGTTTGTCCACAAGTTGCCAAGTGACAGAAAGACGGTTCTGGGGTCTAAACCCTGTGCGCACATTACAACCAAATCGTAGGCTCTCTCCTTCTAGAACACTGGGGGCATTGTTGGTCACCTCCACTGAAATATTGGTTTCTGCAACAGAGAAGAGACAGAGTGTGTGGTTACAGTTAAGGTTGTGTAGAGCAATTCTCACATGTCTTCATTGGCCATTTTTCCTTACATAGAGGTTCCCAAATCTGCTCATGCTCAAGACTTTATGGCAGCAGATGGATACACCCACTATACAACTTCCCTGTGCATCCAACAAAACTCCACGTCACATAGCAAAAGACTTACACAGTCTTCCTCTTGAATGACCTGCACAATCTTTTGCAGTATTTCCTCCAAGGTCCTGGGAGGAGACAGAACGGAATGCATCGTACTGAACAAGCGCATTGGGAATTCAATATAATTGGCGGGGGGGGGACGGGGACAGAGATCTGCAGACCAGATCTTGCATTCTATTCGCCTGGTACATTTTTATCCCATTCGTCTCGCAAGGAGCTTTGGGTGTCATAACACGGTTTTCCTTTCCTCATTTCCTCCACACGGCAACACTGTGAGAAAGGTCACAGAGAAAGACAATGATGGAGCATCACCCAGCAAGCTTTATCGTGGAGTGGGGATTTGAACCCATTTCTACCAGATCCCAGTTGGGAATCCTAACCACTCAAATCTTGCTGTACAGGTTTGCAGGCTCCAAGTACCAGGTGCCAGAAGGCAAGCAAGGCAGAGTTGTTCAGTCCAAGGTCAGAGGTCCAGAATTCAGACAAGGCAGAGTCGGTGGCTCAGCATCTATCATATGCATTACATCCACGCCTAACAGCCTTTCTTGGCTGGTTTTATAGCCCCCATGCCTAAGGGTCATGCTTGCAACCAGTTGCTCAGAAGCAACTCTGCAACTACTCATCTTTGTTACCAGCAAGCAGCTGGAGTTGGGCCAGGAGGCGAGCACCTTGCCGTCTTGTCTGTAGCTCTGTTCTCAGCCTCTGTCTGTGACGCTCTAAGGGTGCAGGTGATACTGGTGGGCTGGGAATGGCCAGCTGAGGTTCCTCTGCTGAATCAGGGCTGGAGGGTGGCTCTGCACCAGATGTTGGCTGTGAATCTTGACAAGCCTGCAGCAAATTTTCCTGCCAGTCAACTTCTGTTAACTAAAGGTTGGCTACACAAGGCTCCTCTTCTTCTGAGGAGACCTCGCTATTGCTAATACCTGGCTGACCCACAACACCAGCTCTTCTATGGTAGACCAATACAGCTCCCCTCTGAAACTGTAAATATATAAATTCCCTTCTCAGGAAAAGTGGGGGGGGGATTGTTTCTATTGTGGTGGGATCCAGCTTCTTTGATAGATCCATAGGTGGGATGTCAGATATGAAAGGCTAAGAACCATTAGAATATAACCATAGAATATAACCAATAGAACAGAACCCTTGCTTTAGGTTATACATTACTGTCAAGAATGCGGCTCTGCCCTCTTTGGCACAGCCGTAATAGCAAGGGATCTTTCATGATCACTTGACCTCGGACGGGGCCAACCCACCGGGATTTGACGTTGAAGTTCTTGCCTAGCCAGAGGTGCTTCAGTGACTTGTTCTTGCCCAAAGCCGGGACCAGGGTCAGCAAGTCCGCATCAAAGCCTGGACAGAAGAGAAGACCACATCAGCCATGATGGTGATGCAAGGACAGAAACCAAGCGGTGCCACGGGATGTGCCGACTCACCGTTGTCAGAAAGATCCAGACTGCTCAAGGCGCAAATGCCAGGCAGTTGCTCTTGTAGCACCTGAGCCCCAGGGGAACGCAGCTAGGGGGAGAAAAGAAAGGAACACAGGAGAAAGGGATAAGTACAATGTGAAATGAGGAAAGAAGCCTGTTAATTATTGGTCTGTTGCTGAAAGCTCTCTGAGGGAAATGTCTCAGTCCTCAAACCCTCCTATAGGAGGTTGTCATGATCTGGGCTGTACCACCAGAGGCCTACTAGGACCAGGGAGCCTGGCTAGCAGTAGGTGAGGCTGGGCCTACAACTCCCAGAAGCCCCTGAAAGGTTTTGGAGCCAAAATTGACCAAAAGGGGAGAAGAGGGCTGGTGCCAGAGCAGACGCTGTTCTTTCTTTCAGAGGGCCAGAAGGAAGGCTGCTGCAGGAAGAAACCCTCATCCTGAGGGAAGGGTGAGTAGTCTAGTGTCACTTGGAATAGTGAGCTAGGGACAGTCTATATTTAGACACGTTAGGGCATTTGATTTCTTTTCACCCACTTATTGTTATAATCTGCACCTCCTTGTTTGACCTCCTATAAAATAAACCTTTTCCTTGTTGTACTCTGCCTGGACCTCACACCTATTATTCGGCCAAACAAAGGAGGTCTGAAGGTCTTGGGAGGGTGCTCTGGGCCTTCTCAAGGGATCCTAAATCCAGAGTGGTGGCAGCATCAGGTGACACCCCACCTGCGCCGTGACAGAGGTGCTGAGACAGAAGAAAGCCCCATCCTGTTGGAACCACAGCGTGACGGCAGTTCAGGAGACGAAGCAGGATGAGGCCTCGGTCTCCAGAAGAGCTTTGTATCCAGGATCTCATTTGGGCACTCCACTCAGAGCAATGACAACCCATTAAGAAACCACAAGCGGGAACCGTGGAAGAAGTCTCCCTCTCTAGCTTTGCCGGACTCTAGCGGCACTCTGGTTTGAATAACTCCTAAAGCAAGTTGAAGTATTCAAAGCACTTTACAGATTTTACCTCATGAATCCCTGCAACAGCGGCCAGGCAGGTGATTATTCCTGTTTCACAAGAACAGAGGCAAAAAGATATGGACCATCTCCTTCCATATGTCGCTGTGCTCCAACTATGGTTATCAGGCAGCCATCTGTTCGCTGTCTCATCACTTAGGGTGGCCTGTTTGGCATCAACCAGAGCCCGGGCCTTTTCCATCGTGGCCCCGGCTTTGTGCAATGGCCTCCCAGGAGAGGTGAGGGGGGTCCCCTCCTTGGAGATCTTCAGGAGGCACTGAAAGGCCTCCTTGGTTGCCAGGGCCTTGGGGGGGGGGTTGAAATGGCAGACATCTTTTAAGGGGGGAGATTTGGGGTTTGCTGTTTTATTTTTGTGAAAATGCGTTTCACTATTATAGTAAGCCTCCTTGGACCACGAGGAAAGGCGGCACAGAAACATTTAAATAAATAAATAAATAACACTACCCAGTGAGTTCACGGAGGAAGAAATATCTGAATGCGATCTCTGAGGCTGCTCCCGCTGAACCCCCTCGCACAAATTTGCTCTGAGTGCCAACAGAGATTCAGGACCTTCAAGTTAACAACTGCTCTGCTGAGCAACACGCAGTGCTATTATAGTAAGCCGCCTTGGACCACGAGGAACGGTGGCACAGAAACACTTAAATAAATAAATAACAGCTGGCCCCGTACTACGCAGTGAGTTCACGGAGGAAGAAATATCTGAATGCGATCTCTGAGGCTGCTCCCGCTGAACCCCCTCGCACAAATTTGCTCTGAGTGCCAACAGAGATTCAGGACCTTCAAGTTAACAACTGCTCTGCTGAGCAACACGCAGTGATCCAGATCGCAGGAGAGGAATGAAGGTGATAGGATCAGACAAGGAGAGAGTGGAAGGAGAGACGGGACTCTGGTGGCATTCTTGGATTGTCCAGTCCACACTGGAAAATCCAGTTGCTAATGACTGCTGTAGCACAACAAAACAGCGGTGTGTGAATGCAGCCTAAACGTATGAGATGGAGGGCGGTCTACGTGTCCTGACACCAGTGTTCCCTCTAAGCTGAGTTAGTGTGAGCTAGCTCACCGTTTTTTTTAGCCTCCAGCTCACACATTTTTGCCTTAGCTCAGGAAGGGATGGCTCCAGAGCAAACTAATTTATGCAGTAGCCAAACCGCTCGCTCACAACTTTCATGCCAGCAGCTCACAAAGTAGAATTTTTGCTCACAAGGCTCACAAGATTCCACTGCTTAGAGGAGGCATTGCCTGACACCCATGTGGCATTGCCTGACACCCTTGAAAGAGCTTCCTCTCCATGTAGAACGGCTCGCTTTTGAAAACTGAGCCGTTGTTCAGCCGACCTCCATGATACTGTCAGACATTCCGCGACTGGCAGCAGCATAGAAAGGCTCCATCTTGTCTGTGATGAGCGGATTCAAACAAAATGGCTGCCATGCTGAGTCGTTGCCAGGCAGAGGCCAGCCGCCATCTTATTGGGGCCATTGGGATAACCGTGACAGAGAATGTATGGCAGAATATGCCCCTCCTGCACACCTAGGTGAATAAAAGGTGGATGGATGGATGGAAGGACACATTCACTGCTCCTATTACCTCACATCCGCTCAAGTCCAAGTGAAGTTCGCTGAGATGTGTGTTGGCTGACAAACCTTGGAAAAGAGACCTGTGTGAGGAGAATAATAAAAAGGAGTGTGTAAAACCTCTGCACCAGATCCACAAACGAGCCTGCTCCCACTCTTGAAATGGCCCCCGTATTGCTTGGAAGAATGGATTCCTGTCCTTCGAAGAAAAAATGAAGAATTTAGCCTTTCTCATGAGCTATTTACCTCAGAGACAGAGATTGCATCCTCCAGCAGAGGGCAGCAGATCTTGCTAACCTGTCATGGCCTTTTCTGCCAGAGAGCCCTAGCAATCTTTGTTTTGTAAAGGTTTTTGACACTGTGATGCTAAAAGACTCACTTGTGCCCTACGGACCCATACCGCCTAGGGCAGGGTACCCTGAAGGGAAACGGCCAAGATGATTCAGTGCCAGCCTGTTTTCTTCACAGAGCGAAGCTAAGACTGCCAACTGCCTCTAGACATGCTTTCTGTGGACACCAGAAGTTTGCAATTAACCTAGCGTTGCCTGTCCCCAGGTCCCGGCAGGGGTTCCCTGGTTTTCAGGGCTTCAGCCTGCCGCCAGCCAGCTGGCCGGTGGGGGAAACCCCACCCCCAAACAACCACATTCCCGCGTGATGTCCCCAACGTGATGACCCGGAAGTGACATCATCGGGTTGGGGACATCATGCAGGATGCTTTGGTTTGAGGGCAAAACTCTATGGTAAATTTGGCCTAAAACCATAGTTTTGCCCTCAAACCAGAGCGTTGCCACGTGATGTCACTGACACGATGACATCACTTCATTGTGACATCATCATGTCGGGAACGTTCCGGAACGCCCCCCCCCCAGGCAATCCTAAATAAACCCCAGACAGATGCTGTTAGAGCCCCGCTGCGCACAGACTCACCGTAATGCCTCCACAGGCATTTTGATGCCCGAGAGGCTGACGTAGCTGAGGGAATAGGCACTGCAGAAAAACTGCTTGAGGGAGGGTTGCATCACCTTTCCTTTCCTGCAGGAGGAGACAGTGACCGTAACTGAGACCCTTTCTCATGCGCCAGGATGAGGCCCTCTCTCAGGCCCGATTTAAAAGCGTGACACCGGCGAGGCAGAAGCACCCACCACCCCTCTCTCTTCACACTCATACGAGGTCTCCTTGCCCACGTGAAGGGGGGCAGCCCCGTTTCAATCATTTTCATCTATTTATTATTTAAAATATTTATTAGCCGCCGTTCTTTCTTACGGAGCTCGAGGTGGCTTACCACACAGATAAAACGTATAAAATAAAATACATTGGAAAACACTGAAAAAACAAAATTTAAAATCACAACCCAGGACTGCTAGTAAACTTCAGCAAATGCAGTCCTGAATAAAACCGTCCTCAGCTGCCTCCTGAAGATCGAAAGCGAGACGGACAAGCACACCTTTCTGGGGAGCTTGTTACATGATCGTGGGGCTATCACCGAAAAGGCCCTGTTCTCTTATGTACCCATCAAACAAGCTTTTTTGATCGAAGGGACAGCCGGGAGGGCCCCTCCTTGTGATAACAGGCCACGGGAGTTCAAAGGCCCACCAGAAAAGCACTTTGGCCCCAGCCCGAATTACATTTTGGTTGAGTCACAGAAAGGGAAGTCAGGGCAGAGTTAGAGTTGCCAACTCCAGGTTGGAAAATTCCTAGGGATTCTGTGGATGGAGCCTGAGGAGGGTGGGTTTTATTACTATTTACAAAAGTTTATATCCCACCTTTCTGCCATCACAAGGGTCACCAGTGCAGCCGACAAATTAAAGCATTAAATCACATTTAAAATAATTAAAACGACGCTCACAAAAGAATATGTAACACTGATTTCAATATTGCTGGCAGCGGCAAGGATATGAATAGCTAAACACTGGAAATCGGATACACCACCTACGAAGATGCAATGGTATAATAAAATATGGGAGATGTATGTAAAGTGTAGGGAGCTGCAGTGGCTCAAGTGGTTAAGATGCTGAACTGCAGGCGGTAGAAGGTCAGTAGTTCAGCAGTTCGAGACCCGGGTGCCGCATGATGGAGTGAGCTCCCATCTCTAGTTCCAGCTCCTGCCCACCTAGCAGTTCGAAAGCAAGAAATTGCAAGTAGATAAATAGGGACCACTTCGGTGGGAAGGTAACAGCGTTCCATGCGCCTTGGTGTTTAGTCATGCTGGCCACATGACTACGGAAACGTCTTCGGACAGCGCTGGTTCTTCGGCTTTGAAACGGAGATGAGCACCGCAACCCTAGAGTCGGACTCGACTGGCTTTCGAGCAAGGGAACCTTTACCTTTACCTTTTATGTAAAGTGTAAAATAACAAACAATCCCTTCTTTGAGGAAAATGTCATAAATATGTGGAAAGCTAGCCAGGAAGAGGGGTGGAATATAGTGATAGAATATCTCAAGTGCAATAATATTATCCCAAACAGGACTATGACCTGTTTTTGAATTAATTGAGTGAAAAAAATTGTTACTTCCCCTTTGCTTCTCTCCGATCATAAATAAGTTCTCTGTTTTAACATCTCAGTTTTAAGTCTTTATTATGTACATTAGAGTATTGGATATTTTGTTTATTTTGTTCTGGTTAATCAATAAAAATTTTAAAAAATAACTAACCCCCTCCAAAAAAAAAGATCATTGAAACAATGATAACTGAAGCTAAAATACATACAAAGACATAAAAACAATTAAAACATAGGGGAGGAAGGAGGGGTCACTGAGGGAACCCCAAACAAAACAAAAGAAGCTTGGGGAAGGGAAGGGCTATTTTTGGGCAGGAACGCACAGGAACGGAGTTCCGGCTGGCTCCTGAATTGGCCACGCCCAGCAGGAACTCATTAGCATAATAGGCCACACCCAACAGCAGAAACTCATTAGGATTGGCTACCATTAGGGGTGTGTGGCCTAACATGCAAAGGAGTCCCTGCTACAAAAAAAGCCCTGGGTTTCGACAACAAACAAGGTAAACAGAATAAGAAGCAAAAGGTGGGTGTGGCTGGATGACCACACTTCTGGTAGCATGGGGGTGTGGCCTAATATGATAATGAGCTGTGTTGTCAGGGGTGTGGCATAATATGCTAATGAGTTTCTGCTGTCGGGTGTGGCCTATTATGTTAATGAGTTCCTGCTGGGCTTTTTCTACAAAAAAGGCCCTGGGGAAGAGGATAGTGTCAATGAGGTATAATGTTGCAGAGTTTACCCACCAAAGCTGCCATATTCTCCAGGGGGACTGATCTCGGTACCCTGGAGATCAGCTGTAATTCCAGGACATCTCCAGGCCCCACCTGGAGGTTGGCAACACTAGGTAGAGCAATCCCTGCGCCACCAACGGCACAAGAGAGGCCAATTCCTTACCGGTGGGAGAAGGTGTTTCGTGCGAGGTTGAGGTAGCTAAGCCGTGGGCAGCAGCCATGCAAGAGTGCCCCGAACAGCTAAAAGGAGACAAGAGACAAGAAGACCCACGCCAAGAGGTGAATGAGTGTCCAGCCCCCCCCCACCTCTTGGGCAACAACCAGCGCTTCCACACTGCTCTCCGCAACACGCCCCCACCCCCCCCGGCTTCTCCTCTTAAAACCTTACTGCATCCACCGCACAGTCCGTGGAGGACAGGTCCAAGTGAACCAGCGCGTTGGGCTGAGCCAAGAAGGAATAGAAGCCCTGCAGGGGAAAGGAGAAGGAAACAGAGGGGTGAACCGTGGAGCCATGCAAGGCCCAGGGATAACCTCGGGCTCCGAGAGTCAAGCAGCTCTGGCCCAGAGGCCTCTCGCCAGTTTGGTGTCGTGGTTTAAGTGCGCGGACTCTAATCTGGGAGAACCGGGTTTGATTCCCCACTCCTCCACTGGCACCTGCTGGATGACCTCGGGCAAGCCATTGTTCTGATAAGAGCTGTTCTTGAAAAAGAGCCTTTTCTGTCAGAGCTCTCTCAGCCCCGCCTACCTCACAGGGTGTCTGTTGTGGGGAGGGGAAGGGAAAGGAGTTTGTGAGCCGCTCTGAGACTCCCTTGGGTAGTGAAGGGCGGGGTATAAATCAGATCTCCTCCTCCTCTTGTATGTAAGATCTCTCATGACTTGTCAACGGCCAGACTCCATGTCCTGCCTAGAGCTGCCACCATGGCTTCTAGCAAGACTCCCATGTGACCTGGCACACAGGCCTATGTCCTAAACTAGGGGACCACAGCATGGTGCCCCTGGTGCCTGCCAACACCTTTTCTCGTGCTCCTCAAGTGTTTTTAGAAAGTAGGCGGGGCCAGGTGGGTCTTTTGCCCAGCAAGGCTTCTGACTGGCCGCTGGAGATCTGATGGGCTGTGCAGATTTTAAAAACGTTACTTTGGCAGTAGCTGCCACCACAGCACAAGGATCTTCATGGTGTAAGGTGCGGCAGCCATTTTGTGGTGGGCTCCACCTCCTGTGGTGGCCATTTTGGGACTCCGCCCACCACGCGATATCATAATTGCGGCAGCCATTTTGTGGCTGGCTCCACACCCCCCATGGCAGCCATTTTGTGGCTCCGCCCACCATGCGATCTCATAATTCCAAGAGTAACTGCAGGCTCAAAGAGGTTTAGGCCTCCCGTCCTAATGCAGCAGCCACTCACGTTTGCTTCCTCGGTCCCCAGCAGCCCCGGATTCTTGCTCAGGTCAAGATGGCGGAGGGTACTGGTGAAAGCCGGGTTGGCACCCAACGTCTGGCACAGAATGGCAAGTCCTGGGGTAAGGGACAGACACAGTGTTACTTATGATTTGTGCAATCCTCGAAACACCCATCCTTTCCTCATGCATGACAACGCCCTGAGGGAAATCTCGATCATGTCTGCTCTATTAAGGTTGCCATGTGCCAGGCTCCTCGGCTGTTATCAAGGAGAGCTTTGCCCAACACTTGAAGCACTGTGACCTGACAAGTGGCACTGGCCACTACCTTTCACAGGCGGAAGAGTCCTGTTCCCTGTTCAGCTGAAAGCCTCCCCAATGTTTTAAACGAGGCAGGATAGAAATCCGTTATATCCACACATCTTACAAAACAGAGAACAAGCAGGGAGAGGAGAGCGTGGATTTGTCCAAGGTGAGCCCCCCAAGCTGAGATTTGAACTCAAGATCTTCCAAATCAAGAGTCCAGTACACTGAACAGTTTTTGTTGTTGGAAGTGAAGGGCTTTGCTCTGTCTCTGAGCCTCAGAGGGAACTACAGTGATAGGTAGGTCAGGGCCTGTGCATCCCTTCCTTTCTACTAGTCTGATGTTATCCCGTTGATGTGTAGATTGCTCCTCTTAGGGAATCTTCCTTCCTTCTTCCCCGCTGACACCCTCTCTCTCTTCTCTCTCTATCTTGCTACCATCAGGGCACACTTCCTGCGTCTCCACCCATCCTAGCTAGTTAGACTAGATGAGAATCCTATCCCTATCACGTCTAGAATGGAGTTCCTTACAGTAAAGGACTCGTATTATTTTGCTAAGATAAAAAGGCTCCGCGTGTAACCTTATTTCCGCAGTGGTGCAGGTGTACACCAGGTAATTCCGGTGTGCCACATGCCTTGAGCACTCTGCTAATCTAATATTCCATCATTCATCGCTTAACCTAATTACGGCAATGCCTAGGCTCCGTGAACTCACAATCACAGGGCTCGAATTACCAAACCCAGTAGCAGATTCAGTCTCCTAAAAACCTCGACTTGCACTGTTTTAAAAAAGAATAAGTTTCTAGTCCTCATGAGGGATCAGATTTCAAAAAAGCATGAGGAACGCCTGGGAAATCTCAGACGACAAAGCTAGGATGAACAGAACTTCCCAGTGGCCAGTGGATATCTCTGAGTGAACCCTGCAAAAACTCAAATGTATGCCACGTCCCTGGTTTAAATCATTTATTCTGTCTGAAGAATTCAGACCTCTACCCAGCACCCCTTGTCTATCCGCTTAGCCCACCCCTCTAGCTCCAATGCGCCAACCCTACCTTTAGCGGTGATGCTGGTCTTGGAAAGGCAAAGTTTACTGAGGCCTTTGTGGAAACACAACAGCTGCTGGCTCAGGGCGCTGAGACCTGTTGAGGGCGACAGAGGCACATGGAGAGGTCGGCAAACAGCCCAGAGGACCTTTCCCCAGGAGACACTCCGCCAGGATTTGTCAGGCCCCCCACTAGACACCCCTACCTTTGTCCTCCAGTGGGTTGTGGGAGAGCGTCAGGGCGTGGAGGGCCGTGCTTGGGTTCTCTGCCAAAACGCAGGCGAGTTTCAAGGCAAAATCTCTGCACAAAGAGAGAGAAGCAGTGAGGCAGGACCTGCGCGGTTCCTGCAGCAGCGAAGCATTTGTGGTGCCCAAAGGCACCATGACACCTGACCCCCGTTCCTAGTGCCTGCTGAGTGTTTTTAGAAAGTGGGCAGGGCCAGTTGGGGCTTTTGCCCAGCAGGGCATCTGATTGGCCATTGGAAATCTGATTGGCTGCACAGGTTTTTTTTAAAAAGTTGCTTCAGCAACAGTTGGCGCCACAGCATAGGGCTACTCTGTGTGTGTGGAAATAAATATTGTTCAATAACATGAAGACGGGTTGCCATAATATGTTTGTTTTAAAGGGCATCCTGTTAAACAGAGGTTCTTCCTGGAATGCTGAACAGTTAGAGTTACACACAATCTTACTCCCTGACATTTTGTGGATGACTCCGCCTCCTGTGGCAGCCATTTTGTGAATGCTGAACAGTTAAGAGTTACACACAATCTCACTCCCTGACATTTTGTGGTTGACTCCCCCTCCTGTGGCAGCCATTTTGTGGTTGCCCTCACCAGCCTGTTATCAGAATTCTGAAAGTGGCCACCAGCTCGAAAAGTTTGGGGACTCCGGACTTATTCCATGACAGAGTTGAAGTCTCAGCTAGATCCTGTCTGGAGCCGGATCACATACCAGTCCAAAGGTGAGGGAGGATGAAATTTCTTGAGAATTAGTGAAAGAATTTGGAACTTTCTGGAATGGGGTGTCAAAATGCTCAAAGTTCACACCAATGATTTGGTGCACAGCTTGTGATGTCCACAACCCAAATTCGCACAAAATGCACCCAAGGAAAACTGAACGGCCTGCCAAAGTGGAACTTTGGAAGTTCCAAACCTTGCATTCCGTGTCAAACTTTTTAACATTGTATTTTAGATACCTACAAACTCTATACCCCCACCTTTCTGCCCGGATCACGGCCACCGAGGCCTTTGCAAAGTGAAACCTGAATTTCAAATGTGGGGAAACCCTCACGTTTTTAACCCCGCGTTGTCCAGGACCAGCTCCTCCAGGTGATGGGACTTGCTAACTGTGTGCAGAACTTGTTCGGCTACCTCCGAGCCCTGCGGAAAGATGGAAAATACAGACACGTGGAAAGTGGAGGAGAAAAGCTCGAGGAGGGAGGCGGTGGCTTGCTGTCGGCAGATCCGCAACATATTACAACAATCAGGTCGATCTGTAGCCAACCTGGCCTTCGTTTGTCAGAATTTACAGGTGACTTCAGATCAGGGGGAAACAGTTTCTGGGTTGGAATCGAGAAATCCTGGGTTTTGGAATAGGGAGCCGTGGCTTTCCGGTCTTCCCAATTTCCCTGCAGACTGGCAGTCCCTGAGGAGTGCTTCTGAGGGTGCTGGGGCTGCCGGCAGATGAAGGGGGCACAGCAGGCCCGTAGCTACAGTGGGGCGTTTGGGGGCTAGGCCCCCTGACTTATGAGCAAGGCCCCCCCGACTTCGCATCCAGCCCAGGGCCCCTGAGCAGCAGCTGGTGTGGGGAAGGAGCTGGGTATTCCTTTACTTTGAGTAGCCACCCCTAAGAAACTTAAATGCCCCCCATTTAAAAAATCCTGGCTACAAGCCTGGGGCAAAGGCCCAAGATCCTGAGCCAATAAGCAGGCACAACAACTGGGCAGGACGTACCAACCGCAAGTCTTTACAGTAGATTTTGGTGAACCACTGGTTGTAAGCCAGAGCAGCCACGATCAGGGCCAGGTCCCTGCGAGGGATGAGAGAGAGAGAGGAGAGGAGAAAAATGTGTCAGAGTGGTGAGGGAAGAGGACCGCAGCACAGGGGGAAGAGGGATTTCAGCCTTCCTCGTGGTGTCTTCCTGACCCAAAACAACTCTCAGAGTCTGTTGTCTGCTCCACTGGGGCAAACACACAGGTCCTGTTTGTTCAGTGGTGCAAACTGTGGCCCTGTGGGATTGTCTGGGGCCAGGAAAATGGGGAACAGGCTTCGCTCCACTCCCGACGCCACAGTCCTGCTCTGAATCAGGTATTTTAAAAGGAAAAACCACTAGGAGCTCCGTCCATGGAACCCACGGAGTCTTACTGGGTTTGGCCCTAAGAAAAGGGGTCTGTGCTCCAGATGAGGCTGAGAGAGGACCAAGACCCAATACTTTAAATAATATATTCCATATATATTAGGGTTGGCAGATCCCTTACCTTTTTTCGGGGGGGGGGGGGGGGTTTGGACCCAGTCCGGGACATTTGCGCATGCGCATTATCATACTAGGCACGCCACCGGTGGACGCTCTAGCATTCATCTTGAAAACTCTATGGTACCATAGTTTTCAAGCCGAATGCTAGAGCGTCCCCCCCAGCGACGTGCGCCAGTGGGCACATTGGCCGGATCAGGACACTTTGGGGGTGGGTTTGCCACCACCAGCTGCATCTGGACCAGCAGATCGGGGGCCTTTTGAGCGGGCAAGCCCCCTGCCCCCAGGGGACCTGACAGCCCATATATATAGGCAAAGTATATATTCCTTTAGATAAATACAATATTTAAACAGTCCTTTAGAGCGGATCCAGTGTGGTATAGTGGTTAAAGTGTCAGACTAGAATCGGGGAAACTCAGGTTCAAATCCCCATTCTGCCATGGAAGCTGCCTGGGTGACCTTTTAGCCAGTCACACGCTCTCAGCCTAACTACCTCACAGGGTTGTTGTGCTGATAAAACGGAGAAGAGGAGAAGGATATAAGCCGCGTTGGAGAGAAAGGCAGGGTATACATAAATTAAATAAATAGTGTCCATATATCTTATATTCTAATCCTTACAACAACCCTGTAAGGGAGCTCAGTATTATTATCCCCCATCCTGGGGACAGGACTGAGAGAGAGAAGGGCTCGTCTAAAGCCCCCCAGTGAACTCGTGGCTTAGGAGATATTTGAACCTAGGACTTCTTGTTTTGTAGCTCAGCCCCTCCGTCCCTGTTTCGCGGAAGTCCAGAATGTTCCATGGAGGTAGGTTTGGAAACCTGATGGCATCCCATTTAATATTTAGAGAATATCTGAGGATTGAATGGAGGCGGCTGAGCCTCTGAGGTGGGCATCCTCCGTTGCTGCTTCTCACCTACTTTCCAGGTGACAGAAGTCAAGCAGGTTGAACTCCCGATTGTCTTCGGAGTGATAAATTGTGTCGACGTCCTGGAACAGGAAAGGCAGAAAAGATAGAGAGAAACCAGAGGGGGTCTTTGACGCCCTCCCCACAAAACCAAGAGCTGTACCCATCTACGACCCCCAGTAGGAGAGACCAGACCCCTCTGAAACCAGGTCCCTCCACCCATGTCCCACATATCCAGCCAAGGGGAAAATCTCCCCGACCTCCCCTCAGTGGCTGCGGCCTGGGCTTCCTTTCTTTCAGGAGCAGGCGCTCTTTATTTCTTGTCAGAGGCAATGCATATAAATACCAAGGTGAGGCAAAGATATCACCTTAGTGAGGGGGAACAAGTAAACTTCAACAAAACAGCCAAAACGTTAATTTCTGTAGCCATTTTTCCTCAGCGGTGGTAACTTTATTTTTTTTATGTTCGAGTATAGTAGCACTTTAGAGGCTAACAACATTTTGGGGGTATAAGTAGGGCTGCCAAGTGGGGGCGGGGGGCAGGTAACCCCCCGCTTCGGAGGCCCGATTTCTGCCGCCGCGGAATCGGGCCCCGGGGGGAACTCCGCCCCCCCCAAAGCGCAGCGTGGCTGCGTCACCAGAGGTGACGCAACCACGTCAATCACGTTGGGGGCGTGGCCCCGATCGTCGGAGGGAAAACTCTATGGTTTTCCCTCTGACGATCGGGGCCACGCCTTCAACGTGATTGACGTCGTGTGTCACTTCTGGTGACGTGCTGACGACGCGCGTGTGCTTTGCGCGCATCAAAGGACGGCTCCCGGAGCCCGGCCAGGCTCCCCCGCCGGTAAGATATTTTGACTTGGCAACCCTAGGTATAAGCTTTCAGAAGTCTACTATCTGATCTCTGATGAAGGGGGCTTAGAGTCAAAAGCTCATACCCCTGAAAATCTTGTTGGCGTCTAAGGTGTCGCTAGACTCGAATCCAGTTCTTCTACTGCAGACCAACATGGCTATGCTGTGAAACAATCTCCATTTTTATATGTATTTAATTAAAACATTCTCTGCTCATGAAATAATCAAAACAGGGCCTTTTCCCAAGAGATGGTTTTACACATACAAACTGAGACGATGAGTGATTGCCAGGCAAATTTCCCCGCCTCTAAATAGGGCTGTACCAATCACCCCTAGGAAATTCAAGGTATTTTGTTGTCCCAAGTAAGGTACAACCATGACTTTCTTCCGTGCAAAATACCTGCCAGGTCTGATGGCAGGGCTCTTCAAGGGGATGCCCATCAGGTTGAGAGCATGTGACCCTGATACTACAGCAATCACACCAGCTCCCGATCCACTCCCAAGACCAATTCAAGGTGTTGTTTTTGACGTTTAAAGCCCTGCGTGGCTTGGGAATGGGGTATCTGGACCATCTTTGCCATATGTTCCTGCCTAGGAATTAAGACCAGATGGAGAAGCTCTGCTGACTTCCCCATCAATCAAAAAAGCTCACTGGGTGGGCACACAAAAAAGGGCCTTTTCAGTGGCAGCCCCACGATTAGGGAACAACCTTCCCGAGTGGTGTGCCTGGCCCCCTCACTTTCAGTCTTCAGAAGGCAGTTGACGATGGTTTTATTTAGGACTGCATTTGATTAAGTTTATTAGCAGTCCTAAATTGTGATTTTAAATTTTTGTAAGAATGTATTTTATAAATTCTATTTGGTGTATTTTATCTGTATTGTAAAGAGGGGCTGCGGTGGCTCAAGTGGTTAAGACTTTGAACTGCCGACCGGAAGGTCGGTAGTTCAGCAGTTTGAGACCCGAGTGTGCCGCATGAAGGAGTGAGCTCCCATCTCTGGCCCCAGCGCCTGCCAACCTAGCAGTTCGAAAGCAAGAACCTGCAAGTAGACAAATAGGTACCACTTTGGTGGGGAAGGTAACAGCGTTCCATGCGCCTCGGCATCTAGTCATGCCGGCCACATGACCACGGAAACATCTTCGGACAGCGCTGGCTCTTTGGCTTTGAAACGGAGATGAGCACCACATCCCTAGAGTCGGATTTGACTGGCTTTCGAGCAAGGGAAACCTTTACCTCTACCTTACCTATCTATATCATAAACCGCCTCGAGTTCTGTCAGGAGGAAAGGCGACTAATAAATGTTTTAAATAAATAAATATTTAAAATATTTATTGGCCTCACCTTTCTTTCTTACAGAGCTCAAGGTCGCTTACGACATCGATGAAACACATAAAATAAAATACATGAAAAACATAAAGCCCAACATTTAAAATCACAAAGTAGGACTGCTAGTAAACTTAATCAAATGTGGCCCCAAACAAAACCATCAGCTGCCTCCTGAAGACTGACAGTGAGGGGGGCCAGGTGCACCTCCCTTCAAAGATTGTTCCCTAATCGCGGGGCTGCCACCGAAAAGGCCCTCTCTTGTGCACCCACTAAATAAGCTTCTTTGATTGGTGGGACAGTCAGGAGGGCCCCTCCCTTTGGTCTTAATTCCTGGGCAAGAACATCGGGGAGACAACAGGCTTTCGGATATCCCAGTCCCGAGCCAGGTAAATAAATATCCCACCCCAATAGGGCCCAGAATTGAGAGGAGTCCTCTCTGTGCCATCTCAAACCACTGCTTTAGTGGCTTGGCTGGAGAACCAGCCCCGATTGGCTCCCTCACGCCACTGAAGGTGAGAACTTACCCACTGGACCTCCTCCCGGCAGCAGTGCCCATTGTAGTCACACAACGCCGCGTACGTCTCCGAGAAGCCCCCTGAGGAGTGTCAAGCAGAGGTCACCATCGCTCGGCCTCCTTCATTAGGGAGCCTTTCTCAGGCCTCGGCCTCACAGAAACTGTACCACCTCAGACATCGAGTGAAAGAAGCCTAGCCCTTCTCCCTGACACACTGGATTTATGTGTGCGAGGCATGTTTTTGCTAACACAGAGGAACATAAGAGAAGCCAATGTTGGATCAGTCCAATGGTCCATCCAGTCCAACACTCTGTGTCACACAGTGGCCAAAAATACCAGGGGCCATCAGGAGGTCCACCAGTGGGGCCAGGACACTGGAAGCCCTCCCACTGTTGCCCTCCCCAAGTACCAAGAATACAGAGCATCCCTTGCCCCAGAGTTCCTATCTATACCTTTTATTTATTTTTATTTTATTTTTGGATTTGTATCCCGCCCTCCCCGAAGGCTCAGGGTGGCTAACAACGAGGCACAAGTGCCAGAATTAAAACAGATAAAACAGTCTAAAACAGTAAAACAATATAATACAACAACAAAGTGTCAGTGCAAGATGGGGTAGATCTTAGTCGAATGGCATTGGTCCGGCAACTCGTCATCCCCTCTCCTTCCAGGGTCACATCGCACCCAGATGGAACCACATATTGGTAGCAGTGGTGCGATGTTGCATACATATCGGTGGTGGAATGATAGTGGCGGCGGCTCCTACTCGAAAGCCTGGCGGAAGAGCTCCGTCTTACAGGCCCTGCGGAACCGAGAAAGGTCCCGCAGGGCCCGGATCTCCTCCGGGAGCTCCTTCCACCAGGTAGGAGCCGCCACCGAGAATGTCCTGGCTCTAGTAACAGCTCTAGTAACACAAGTAACTTGTGGCTAAGAGCCACTGATGGATCTCTGCTCCATACGTTTATCTAATTCCCTCTTGAAGCCGTCCCTGCTTGTAGCCGCCGCCACCTCCTGTGGCAGCGACTTCCATGTGCTGACTCATGCAAGCAACGCTGACTCATGCAAGCCCCCACGGCAGGTTGAAAGTGGTACCACTCAGATGCTGTTTATGAAACCTGAGCAGTCTTTCAGGGTTGACGTCTGGCTTCAGGTCGAGAGGAATTAAAATGCAGAGTCCCCCTGCACCCCGTATCTAACCTTAGTGGTTCAACTGGAGATGGATTCTTCTCTGCATATATTAAACAATGATGTTCTTTCCTTTTGCAAGCGTAGCTGCAGGGATTGCCTTACCAAGGAGGAGATCAGCCGGGGGGGAGGCTTAACCCTTTCCCCCCACCACCATGTTTTGCTCGTAAAGTCCTGCACACACAAATACATATGCTTTTACTCTTTTTTGGGGGGAAATAATCAGCCTAAACTGTTCTGGATATTACAGGAAGGAGCAGGACTGTGAGGTGAAGACTGGCTCGTATCCAATGCTCCCAGTTTGGTGTAGTGGTTAAGTGCGCGGACTCTGATCCGGGAGAACCGGGTTTGATTCCCCACTCCTCCACTTGCACCTGGCTGGATGACCTTGGGCAAGCCGTAGTTCTGATAAGAGCTGTCCTTGAAAAAGAGCAGTTTCTGTCAAGAGCTCTCTCAGCCCCACCGACCTCACAGGGTGTCTGTTGTGGGGAGGGGAAGGGAAAGGTGTTTGTAAGCCGCTCTGAGACACCTTTGGGTAGTGAAGGTATAAATCCAACTTCTTCTTCTTCTCCCTTTAAGCTGTGGAGTCTTGTGATCAAAAATTCTACTTTGTGAGCTACTGGCCTTAAAGTTGTGAGCGAGCAATTCGGCGACTGAATACATTAGTTTGCTCTGGAGCCCTCCTTCCTGAGCCACGACAATAATGTGTGAGCCAGAGGCTAAAAAACTGTGAGCTGGCTCACACTCACTCAGCTTAGGGGGAACACTGGTTGGCAGGTGCATGGGGGACCCCTGCTTTAGAAAACGGCCGGAGACAAACATGAACAAGTATTTTTAATACTAAAAGAGCTTAT